TATTATTATTATTATTATTATTATTATTATTATTATTATTATTATTACAGGGTTTGTTATGTGATTGGTATTATATGATAAAAACGTATATATTAATTTAACTTAGTCTTCCAACAATTATTCTTAAGTGTTATAACGAGGGGTAGTTAGTTTTAAAGTCCGTTTTCAACAGTCTTCTTGCAACCGAATTACAAATATATATTTACTACGATAATGTACCTATTATTCGTGCAATAAATACGGATCCTGTGTATTTCAGTAAAAAGTATTTTTTGAATATATATATTATCTTGAATTTTTTTTTATTTGTAAATATTATATAAATTATTTGCGGATGTATATATTATTGTATTTCTACAATTTACACTTTGTTGACTCTATAAACATTATATACATACATGAAAAACAGATATAAATATATTTATATTTGTGTTTTGTGATTATTTTATTTTGTTATTCAATGTAATTTGTAACCGGTTTTTTTTTTTTTTTTTTTTATATCGAATTTTGTAATGCTTAAATATAATAGTATATTTTAAAATGGCACGTTCAAACATTTTATTATTTCGTTATAGATTGTCGTCCTATATATATTATTATTATTATTAGATGTTGTGTATAATTTTATAATCGTATACTTTTTTTTTGATATTTAATATATTCGTATACAATAGCGTCAATCGAATTTCATTTTATCCGTTGCAAAACCATTTACGACCTTAAGACGTGTAACGACGGTCGGCAACCGGTGGTCCCTTGGCCGGATTCGGCTCTCCCGTTTTTTCGGCCCGCATTCAACTCGAGGAAGTTTAATCTCAAACATCACATCATTTATTTTTATTTTTTTACTATTGTTTGACTAGCGAATCCTTTTTAATTCGTAAATATGACACAAGGGCCCGAGAAGTTTGCAGATCACCGAAGTATAACCTTGTCCGACCCGAACTCGTTCGTCGTATCGTAATACGTAAAACTATGGAGATTTTTTCATTTATTCTCGACGGTCTACGAAAATCGTACGCCACTAATCATTAATCAGTCGCACGCGGCGTCTGTGCAATGGAATACGAGTTCGATTGGGTATTACCGTTTAACCGAATCGGTCGAAGATTTTCTCACTGATACTCTCCGTGCACGGACGGTGAACTTTTCGCGCCAAACTTGCGCGAACACAATCAATCGACAACAACAAAATGGTCGGTTCGACCGGTACACGTAGTCCTATCGGCTAGACCACGTGACAGTAGCGGATCTAGATGTCACACAAGGGGTAGGGGGGCAAATTTTCAAAAATTAAATCACCATTTATATAGCCTATATAGAAGGATAATTATTTACATTATTCTCTCGAAAAAACTGATTCAATGTGTCAAAAAAGTAATTTATTTTTACAAAAAAAGCCTATTAAACTAATAATGTGTAATATTACATACATAGCTACAAAATGAAATCAATGCATCTTTTCTTCTCCTTGACAAACCTATCTATAACATCTTACACGTTTAATTTGATGTGCAAAAGTGCTAAGCCAGTCAGCCGTTCTTCCCCCATACGAGACCTCAACCAGGTTTTCAATTTAATACATTTAAAACAATAAACAATAATATAATAATTATCTATCAATTAGAAATTTCAAAACATAACTATATATATACGTACGTATATTTGTAATAATATAATACTAATTTAATTTTATATAATATATTAACAAGTTTCTAATTGATATTTACATATACATATTATTTTAACTACTCATCAAGGCAAGATGCTGTTTTATATATATATATTACAATTTATATTTCGACTTTTCAAGTAAATAAGCTGTGATAATACCAATGTACCATAAAAAAAACTACCATGGAAGTGATATTCATGACTGACATAATAATCCACGATAGAATGTCTATAATCCTGCATTAGTTAATTGAAAACATCGAACGATTAAAAGACGGCCCAAGGGGAGAGGACGATTGCTCCTCCCCCTCGTTCTCGCCACTGCCGCGCGACCAGAGTTGCACCGTCAATGTGTTCGAAATATTACACGCTGAAACCGAGAAAAGAAAAAACGTGCCCGGGTAAGCGCGTACCGTATAATGGCGAGTGTCGAATTACACAACTTTTAAGAACTGGTCGGGTGTGTGTCCGCGAATTATGATACGACAAACAGGAGGTGTAGGTCCGAATCGCGAAACGAAAATTAGGGTGAGAGCGGCACACCAAAATGAGCGATGGCTTTTTCGCGGTACCATTGAACATCGACAAAGGGTGAGTGACGGGTGAGAGCACCGGAGAATACTTTTTTACAATCACATCGTCTGACATTCCGGAAATGTATTGATTGATAAACAAACAAAACCTTCAACGATTAAAGTACGAGCAAATCATTGCTGGGCAAAGACCTCGTAGTTAATAGATACAACACTTTACCTTTAACCGTTAATTAACTTTACGCTTTAACCTTCACTTTTTTAAAAGGTTATAACTTTGATTCGCGAGTATAATTATTCTACAACATCTAGGTACTTGTATTTTTTTACCATTAACTGTACTGATTATTATTATTGGTATTCTCAATTTTAATAATAAATAATAATTGTACAACTGTAACTGTGAATTTTCGAAATGTAATCGCTATAAACTACGTTCGCTCATTTTGGTTTGGCTATTATGACTGTGGTTGCAGCAATTGTTTACCAATAAACGATCGATATCTATCGATGATAGTACACGCATGATTCTGACATATGCAGGTCATACGTACAGGTATATTTGTTTAATTGAATATAAGTCCAATTACGTAATAAAAATGCGATAATTTGATTTACAAAACGTAGTATAACCGTAGTAACATCGAACTAAACAGCAGAAAAATCCTAGCTACATAGGCGATATTAAAATTTAATAATATTAATAATGAAAAGCGCATTCAAACTTCACACATACCCAACAGCAGCAACAACCGCGCCTGACTATTTACTTATTTATTTAAAAGATTTTCTTACAGTCCGTAATCAATACTGAGACAATGAGTAAGTTTCATGTAGAAAAAAGTGTTGATACGAATATCTTGCGGAGGAAACGGTTCGCTTACAAACACTGCAGAATTTAATTTTCAAGTCATTATCGTGTAAACGTTATTTTTTTCGTAGTTTAAATTATGATTTTTATAAATCAATCGTAATGATTTCCGGTGGTTCGGCGACTGTGGAGTCGGAGCGCTTTGTGGGGAAGGATTCGTTCGCGACGGACCAAGGAACTAGCGTTATACGTCCAAGACTAATGGACCCGAAACAAATCCTGCCGTTACACCTTCAAACTTGTACTTGATCGACGCGTGCATTATCGTGCGCCACAACACACCCGGTCGGCCTTTACGCCGCGCATTTGTAAATCGTTATCGCGGCGTCCGTTTTGATTTATAACAAATGCGTTTCCGGTGACTTAGATATTATTATCCCCCCCCCC